ACCATTACACCATAGAAAATCTATCATAATATCATGATTGTAAAATAATAAACTACAGAGCAAATCAAAACTTTTACAATTAAAACTACAGCCTCATATGATATCAGCCATTCCACTTTTTTTCTAGAGCCATCTAGGTTTTCTTAGGTATAACAAAGTATGTTATAATTTCCATATTTTTGCATTCTTCATCATTTATTCGACTGTCCGATAGTCTTGTGATCTTACTTTGATCGAAAAAGTGAATATTCTCTTATCAAACCAAATAAATTACATCAGTTGTATTTCTATAGATTTCATTGATAAATTTATATAGTACATCTAATTATACCACTACTTAAAATAGATGAAAATAACGTTACTGAATTACTTACAACATATTAAAAATCTTCAAAAATACAAAAGTATTTTTAAATCTTTTTTTTTCATAGTGAGATTACAGAAAAAAAACAGATGAGAAGAAATCTTTGTATTTTTGAAAATTTTTTCATTATAAATTAAAAGAAATCATAATATTCTCTTTTTATCTGATTCTAAATTGAATAGATTTCTAGTAAAGATTTAGCTTCCAATACGTCAAACTACTCAATAAAGCTGAAGTACCTTTAATTCAATCGATAAAGAATAATCTAATTGAAGAACCAATTCTTCTACATATAAATATTGTGGGAAAGCAACTCACCAACTTCAATTTACAGACATGTTCGTAGATGAGTCTGCTAGTAAACGGTAATCGAGTGTTGACATTCACATTTTGAATTTATTGAAATGTTACAAAAAAAAAAATGAAAACTGCAACAGTTAGAAGCTTAAAAATAAGAGAAAATTATTGAGGATTACAGAAAGTTTTTAAAGCAAATATTACTTAATCATATGTAAGGGTTAATACTCAATTAAAAGAGTTCACTAAACATCCCTATTTATACTTATATCTACTGTTTCTTATTCTCATATAGATTATTAGTTATTTTTTAGCCGATTTTATTTTTCAATACTACAATTGATTGTCATAACATCCAGTTGTTCCTATGGTCAATTGTAGTAGAACTAAATATTATGTTTATATAATAAAAATGTCTTTTAAGACTCTTATTGTAATTAAATATGAAATACAATAGTTTAAAAAATATTTAAATAATTCAAAAGTTTAATTTTACTTTTCAAAGATAATATTAACTATTAACCTTAAAAACAATAGAAAATATAAAAAAAGTATGAAAAGTATTATGAATTTAACTTCGATATATCCTTCATAAACATTGTTCTAATCATTTATATATTCATATTAAAGCAATATAATCTAAAATAAATAGTTTCGTATGTAATTAAGATGAAATATATTTGTTTTTATGTATCAAGAAATATGTCGACATTGAATAATATAAACATCCTCGAAAATTATAAAGACCATTCTTACAATAGGGCAGAATAAACATAGTTTTTATTATCGTTTCTCTAAATATATTTTATTGTTCTCCTATAGATATAAATGTTTATTAAAGTATAATAAATTGGTTAAATAAGTATGACAAAAAAAAATCTATTCGGACACTACAATGATGTTTTCTATATGATGAATCCACTATTTCTTGTTATTGTCACACTTAACTCATGAGATATATTCTGTGTAAATGGCTATGATGCCTAAACTGTAACACATTTTAATCGAGCTTGTTCATCATTTTTTGTTTGAATAATTAAATATTATTCATCTTCAACTTGCAAACTTTGAATATTAGAAATTAATTCGTTTATGAACTGTGCTTTTTCCATCTCTTCTTCTGAATCGGTCCTCATTGTTGATATAACGTTAGAAGGTTTTCATTCATCATTGTCTGGATTATATTCAAACTACAATTCATTGAATTAACTACAGATGCACTAAAACGATACACATTTTCCTTTTCATTCTTTATTTTAAATTTACAATCGATACATTTTGGATGTGGTGAATAAATCAATTATCTTCCAATTACCAACAAAATTAGTTGATTCCGATGACATAATAATCAAATTTTGATTCAAAGCTAGTCACCTAATAAATCTAGTTAGCAAATAAAATGGTAGTGTTTTTTTTTTTCTTGCTCTACAATATATATTTTCTCTCTTTTTTCATAAAAGAAAAAATATGCACATTTTTGTATCACTACTGATAAAAAGCAATGTAGGGAAAAAAAGTAATAAATGACTGTCATATCAATTACTGATTACATATTTGGTATATATAGAAGATATATCGAAAAAGACAAAAAAGAAATATATTCTTATTTTGACGTTATTTTCTTTATGAGCAACACCGATGTAAAGATCAATCTCACTGAATAACATAATATAATCAAAACAAGTCGCTGAATTAGTAACTGTTCAAGGTTCATGTATACAGTTCTTTACTATCAGTAATATAAAAGAAAAACAAAACACTCGATATGTCAGGATACGACACATCAATCATTTTGCAATCGTCAAGGTATAAGACATTAAATTTAATGAAGCGAAAATTTGTAAAAACAAATATTTTACTAAAATTGCTTGATATATTAGAGAAACTTCATTAGATTCAACATTTCGATTACAATTTGATGATTAATATATCTTGAACGAGTGTTAATACGTATTCAGGTAACAATAAAACAAATCTAATTAGTATAGAGGCGTGATAGGATATTAAAAAAAAAGAGTAGACTTTTAGTAACAAAAAAAAAAGAAAGAAATAACGAAGAAAATCATCCCCTACTTTTTCATCTAACAAGCTATCCCTTTTAATAATAAGATAGGTGATAAGAACTTGTTCATTCAGAACGACGTTCAGGTAGAAATTACAACATTCAATCGTGCCTTCCTCCTCTCAAGATTTGACCAGTTTCATCAAACCCTTCTGGATGTCCACTGGAAAAAAAAATTTTAGAAAAAAAACTACAAAGTGTCGGGTGTAATATGTATTATATCTTGTTTCTTAACCACATCCATATTGACACCCACATTCTTAACAAACAATAAACAAAAATTCAACCTAGAATAAAATTTTTCGTTTTTAAATACATTCGATTTTAATGAGCAGAAAACAATAAAAATATAAACAGTACAAATAAAAACTGAAGTTCAATACCAATCGCGCTTGAAAATTCAATGATGTTCATATCATTGTTTCAGAAAATGACTAGTTTGCCAATATAGTACAATCTTCAATTATTTAGAAACCATATTCATATTCAACTTATTGATTTAGTTCATTTTCTACGTAAGATTTTTCTTCAAAGCAAACAGAGCTTCCATATTTCGTGAAAAGTTGTATGAAAAAAAAAGAAAAATATTCATAGTAAACTTCTAGATCACTAGCAATATTTGCTCATCTCCAATTTTTGTTCAGATTTGTTTAGTTTTGAAGGATGCCTTCTTCTACTCTTTACTCGTATGGATTAATGACTAGTGTAAAGGACGAATAAATAACATGAGGGACAACTGCTATAAAACGAAATGATGTTTTGTAACAGTGAAATAAATATTGTGCAGTGAACTAAAAGATTCGAGTCATTTTATATATTCTCGATCAATATTGACGATATTTTAAAGTTAATGACGATTTTGAACTCCTAATTTGATTTACACTAAATACTTTTAAAATGTAAAACCACATTATTCATTGTGTTGTTATATTGATTCCAAAATTTAAAAGACATTGATTTTCACATGACAATACTTGAAAAAAGTCAATACAAGATCTCTGAAGTAGTTTATATAGATTCAATCTTAGAAAAATCGCACCCTTGTAGTTTACATATCTTTGAACTATTTTTAATCAACAAAAAAAAACAAGATGAAACTTCACAACTGAGTATAATGATCATTGTTGTTAGTGGAAATACTGGTTTTATAATATTCATGAACTCTTAAACAGTTAGAAATTAGATGGTTCAGGATTCTCAGTTAGCTAATCTGAGAAAATAATTTCAATGCAGAAAACGTCAAGTTATAAACGTGGATTTCGTAAATAGTTATCATAAACTCAGTACTTCTGTTAAAAATTCGCACAAAATTTATCTTCGTGTATCGTACGAAAAAATGTTGTACAAAATCAATATGATTATTTGTACAATGATATCATCTTTCATAGAATATAAAATATGTGTTAAAATAACGAAAACAAAAAAAAACAATACTTGTCAATCTTACTAATATTTTAAAAAAGTAATAAGAAGACGACAAGCAAACATATTGTTATGAATAATTGTCAAAGAAAAAGCATATAGCCACACTCAGTTACAATTTTGAAAACTATTTTTTTAATTGAACACCTCACATCACACTGTGATACCTTTCAATATCGAAAACAAATATTTTTCATCAAGTACAAACATCTAATTTATTACATTTCATTCGCTTAGTTGCTATGAGTAACTCTTCTTCTTTCACTCGACACATGAGTCATAATTTAAATTAGCCACTTGTTGGTAGCACTTGGTCATCATTTCGAATTGGAAAAAAAAATTGTCGAGATCGTGTGAATGTGGTGAGTGTATACCTAAATCTGTTTTTTTTCGAATTCTGTAACATTCGGCAGAAACCAATAGGTAGAAAACGATAATTAACAGCTGATAGGGTTTTTTTTTATATTGGAATGCATTATTCAGACTTAAAGCGATCATTCACATCTATGATGGTAAGTACATATATACTTTAATGATCTAGCTATACTTTACAAAGTATAAATCAAACAAAAGAATTGCATTCAATGAAATATTTTCGCAGATAATATTAGTTATTTTAATTTGAACCGATAAATTACAAAAGTAAAAACTTGATAAAAAAAAATGTTCAATGTAAACTTTGCGAATGTTTGTTTAGTCGTTATTGATTATTTTTTGCATAAAAACAAACTTCTTAAAAAGAATTTGTATGTCAATAGAACAGATTTGGAAATTGATAATAGTAGGATATTGGATCACGTACTCACATATTCTTACGTACATTTCTTTTTCTTTTCTTTTTATTATTGTCTAATAATGATTACCACAGTTAAAAGTATACATAATTTTACTCTCATTTATTTGAAAATGATGAAAAGAAAGCAAGATTTTATGCAAAGAAGAAAAATTGTCGATTGATCATTTTGCTGAATGTCTTAAAGAATGATTATTCCTTTATTTAGAAGAAGGAACTTTGTCAACTTTGAATGTATTGAAAAATTATTTAAACTAAAGATTATCATAACACTAAAGAACAAATAACAAATCGACTTTTTGGTAAACTATAATCGTGTTTAGAAATGACATAAAACATATTGAGCATATAATTGTAACTCAACGTACTTTACATCAAAAGTGGTAGACTCAATTTTATTTCCTAACGTCAAATATGGAAAGACTAATTCTGTTGAATAGAACAATGAAAATACAACGAAACTATAGGAGCAAATCACTGACACATATTTACTTTCTTCGAGAGAATATGAAAAATTCTTTATATTTGATTATCTTTTTGTCAGTCAAACTTCTATATTTGAATCACATATCCGAGATATTTCATTCTTACAATGAATACTATTAGTACCTTACCATTGATATTTTAGTTAAAAAAATTTCTTTTGTTTATTTTTTCTGTCTTTGTCATGATGGAAAGATTCTTCTAGTCAGTAATTATGATTATCTGATATAAATGATTAATTCTAAAGTATTTTCAGATAACAAAGTCTTCAAGAGTTGAAAAGACTTCTTAAGATTTTACGAGACTTCAGTTTTGTAGTCTAAAACTCTTGTGAAGTTTTCTAAAGTCTCATAAAGTAGAGCACTTCGATTAGTGCAAATCAGATCTATCCATCTTATCCATATATTTACAATCATCTATCTAATATTCTTAGTATCAACAAACACTCAAAGAATTAACTCTTGTTTTTTTCTTCCGTGTAATAATAAAATAAGAAGAAAAGAGTAATACGATACATAATGTGTATGTAGTATCTTTCAGGTAACTTATTTTCGTTATATAGGTAAATTGTCGCACGTGTTTGGCCATTTTTCAAAGAAGAAAAATAACTTCTGAATAATTACAGTAAAATCAATAGATTTTTGACAAAGTCAACATATTATGTGGGTATCATAATAATAAGAAAATTTTTAATAAATAATGTGTAGACGGTATTAGGTTTTGAAAAAGAAAGTCAATGATTGTTATTATGTTTGGTGATGTTATCAACGACCAATCAGAAGTTTCTTTTTTTTTTCGAAATTTTTCTTTCTTATATAAGGTCGTTGACATCCACTTTTTTTCTTATTCTTTGATTTGCTTATTTGTTTTTCCAACATACTCACATTTTATTATTAATACATTAAGTTGACTCATGTCAGGTAAGAATTTAGAAAGTTTGGACCTTAATATAGCTAAAATATAGTCGTTTCGAACTGTATTTCATTCCGATATTTAAAGTCTATCAACTATGAGTAATGAAGAACGTTTCCCACAAGTGTAAAGAAATTTCTCATTATTGTATATATTGAAGGTATCCTTTTTTCACTCAGTGGGTTTTATTGATTAACTTACAAGGAAATATTCCTAAGTGATAATCAAGTCTCATGTTGATATTCTAACTGCAAGCAAGTGACAACGAACTTAGCAGAAGTCTAAGAAGGTTCGTACTGTGAGTCATTCCTTGTCAAGTGAGGCTCATTTCACTGCAATTTTAGTTTTTAGTAAAACACATAGAGGAGAAATAAAATCATGATGTTTCGTGATCTGAAGTTTTGCTTAAACATAGATTTAATGGCACTTAAATATATCCTAAAACTATCCACAGAAACGAATAAACCCATCCTTGCAAAAAGAATTTATAATTCACAAACGATGCAAGAAAATTGTGTTGATTTGAGAATGCAACATTTCTTGATGGACTCATTCATACCGACTGAATGATTCAGAATATGCTAAGCATGATTCAATCTCTATAGGAGCAAAATTTCAGATCAAAGCATTATGATTCGATTTTTTTTCTATTGATTCTATTGAAACTTCAGTAAAATGTAAATTCAAGAGATAATTAAAATATTCTCTTTTAGCTGTTGCAAATCCGAAAAGTGCTAAAATACTTATTTTGGATATATCAGATCTGCCAACACAAGTACTAAAGAATACAGTGGTACATTGTTCGACGATTGAAAATCTCTTGACTGCATTGGCTCAATATAATGCCTTCATTATTATCATTGCGTGTACCTCGGCAAGACTTGATGAATTAATTCCAGTACTAAATGAAACTCCAATCGATGAATTGTACATTCTTAATGAGGGAGACCCAATTCAAGGAGCCACTGAACCTTGGTGGAATAAGACAACTATAGTTTATAATACAAAACAATTAATGCGTCATTTGTGTACAAAACTTATGCGTTGCTTTTATAATGAAGGTATTGCACATCGAAAAAATGGAAATTCTGGTGTGGCTAATGCTTGTATGACCGAGTCACTTCGTATCTTAGATTATTCTGCTCAATTTATATAATATTTCAATTTTCTTTTTATATGAAACAGATTATATAAAATATATTTTTTTTGAAACAATATTCAGATTAAGAAAATCTACTGTATCATTTAAGTACTAACAGAGATGTACTTTTATTGTATAATGAAGATTGGTCCTAGTTTTCAAACTAATTTCAAATTCTAAAATTATCTAAAAATTTATTGAACTTTCAATACAATTATATATTCTAGAAGTCAGAAATTAGAAATATAAGAATAATGAACTTATCTTCTAAGTTCATGAGTTTGTAGATGCGTTATATTTATAGTACATGCATATTTCTTGATGAATTCTTGACTTAAAAAAAATATTTTTATCATTCAAAATAAAATAAATTCGAAAACATATTGCATTTGATTACTATTTTCTAAATTGTCAATATTAAATAATAAATTAGGAGAAACAAAAAAAAGATATAATATTTTTTTTATTGAAGACAAAGAGCATTAACAAAACACAAAAATTTTTAACATTGTATAAATACTCTGGAAGTGACATAGTGCGTGGATCAAAGTATGATTCTATTTGTCATATACAGAAAGAAAAATAAACGAACTTGTATTCATATGTTATCTGAATATTTTTTCTTCGAAGCAGGGACATGATAATAGAAAAGGAGTTCATATTTATGAAAAAATATATTGTACTCAATTGATGTGCACTATAACAGTTTGGTTGAGTCTTCTGAAAAGATACAAATTGAAAAGTGAGATCAGTGTAAGGTATTAGGTTTATTATGAACCTTTCCTTTTAATACATTTGTTCGAAAAGCACAAAGAAATAACAAGAAACAGTAATTTTCATGAAGGGAAAATCGTTCTTCTTTTAAAGGCCCATAATTCATGAGAAACATGTATATATACATATATGATTTCGAATATGAAAAAGTAAAGAATATGATAATTGATATAATTATAAACAGTAAGATACTTATGGTGTATTGAAATTTCCGAATGAGCAAAACTATAGAAGTAAATTTAAATATGAATGAAGCAATCTTCATGATGTATTGTAGAATTCATATAGTATGGCTAGATGCAAGAAACAATGATAAAAAAATTATAAGTGTTAGTTGTATCTTATGAAAGATTCATTAGTATATTTATATTATTTTCACAAGTATGATATCGTTCGACAAAAGCATTGTGATTCTCTTTTGAAATTGTTTTTTTCGAAAAAAAATGATTGCTTGTACTAGTTTTCAGGAACATAATCGATTTATTGACTGAATCTTGGTCATAAACTAATGAGTAAACTTGAATCATCAAATTTTCTTGCATGCAATCATTATAATACTTTCCATTGTCCTTGAAAAAAGTCTTCCGAAATTAGATGACACTCAAATCGGTGAATATCAGCTTTGGAGGACTTTATTTTCGATGAAATTCACCTATGGCAAAATTTTATTGGACTAAAAACCGACTAGTTCTTCGTTATTCGTGAAGAACTTCTATGAATTTACATGTGAGACAATGCTCTGGTCATATTGAAGTTACGTTTTAGTGCTTGCTGCATTCTAAATATGTAATATCAAAGTTTGTTTTATATGAAAAGAAATGTAAAAATAGGAAATAATTATCACGAATATATATGGTACTTTATGACACTTCGTTTGCTGTTCTTTTTATGCTAGTATAGTCATTTAATGCATGTGTTATTGAAAAAAGAAAACTAATCTTTATTAAAAATTATCCATTTAGTTTTTACCAACTTGTTTCAGTGATGACTATCGTTAAATAGTTTAATATGATAATGCACGATCAATAAGAACGTGTTACATAGAAATCAAATTTGTATTATACAACAATTTTCTTTGAATATATCTGATGACTAGATTTTCAATAGTTTGTTATAGCACCAACACATTTATATTGTGTAAGAAGTATTATCACCAAAATGATTTATAGTTTTAAGTTTTACTATTTATGGAAAGAATATACTATATCTTAGCTCGCTTAGTTAGACTTTTCATACGTAAGTTAAATGAGCATCCGATTCGAGTTAAAGTTGCCCATAGTGATCTAGTAATCTGTTTCACATCTCTTCTTCTTGCTCAAGATACATATCAGCATATTCTATCCAATGGTATAATCAAATTTTTCAAAATCCACATTAATCACATTCACTCCCTAATTATTAATTGATTTCAACTGTACATGGAATGAGAAGAGCAATTGCAACTCGTAGATAGTCCTGTTAGTGTAGTGGCTATCACGTCTGTTGAATACACGGAAGATCGTAGGTTCGATTCTTCCACGGAACATTTTCACTCCTTTTTTTTTTATATTGAAAAGAATTAAAGAAATCGATGTGTGGTAAGCACTCGGTATAAACTTGAAATTTAGAACCAATATTCTTCTCATTACGTCCATGTGCTAAATATTTTCTTCCTTGGTGGCAGCTATAAAAAGCATGTTTGAAAACTTTCTTTTTCTAAAGCTACATCACAAACTTCTCACAATAAAAATGATTACTAGAACTTTTTCTCTTATCTCATCCCATTACTATTAGGCACACACCGAGCCCAAACGTTTGGGTTTTGATTCGCTCTTCACTGGGATTCTTCATTGAAATTAATGATCCAAAAGTCAAAGGCCTGTAGACACAACAAAAAAAATATTAACCATGTTCTGAAATACTCAAATTCGAATTCGAACTTAACCGAATCTTAGAATGCTTTCATGATGGCCCATATACTTTGAGAAATGCTTGGACAATCACCCAAACATCCGACATTGTCTGAACTGATTGGATATTTTCCGAACTCGAGCCATTCGTCCCGAACACCAAATTAGAGTTCGAATTCGGTGCATGCCTACATTTCAGTAAATTATTTAGAACAACAATAGCATCTTTATGAACAGACATATTATCTTAAAGTTAGGAAGAAATATAAAAGCAAGCAATGGGGACTCCTCAAGCATTTTCTTTCATACTGACATCGCTAATGCCACAGCTTCGTCTTCTATACGCTTTACCTGATATTTACTTAGTTTTTTTTTCAAGCTGGAAAAATCCTGACAAAAGACGACAATGTATGTCATTTTCCGTTTGTTTATTGCCCTTTTTTTTGCATAAACATAATCAATCATTCGAATGCCTGTCGTATGCCAGACACCAAG